AAAAATTACCTGTAAAGACAGTAATGGCAGAGCTATACACATTCACAGTGAAGACAGATGTAGAGATGAAGAATGAGGTCTAGTCCAAGAGGTATTCTTGGAGAAATCTGGAATAATCTTTAAATGAGAGTCAATAATGTATTATTTACAGTGAATTCTGAAAGCACAATTGCAACTGCAATAGTCATTGTAATAGTAGTAGTACAGTTCCCTTTTTCCAAGCTTTTGTCTTCCAAACATCCATATTGTATATTATCCTGATACACTAGTAGAAGCAGGACATGAAGAGGCCAAGTGATTAACCTGACATCATGTACATCACTGATGGACCCAGACTTTGATCCTTGTGCACAGGACTCCCAGTGTCCTCTGTTTAGCTATAGTGCCACAACATGGTGAGAGGCACTGTCCCACAATCCATTGAATATATGCCACTAGAAGCTGTATATTTAAAATTCTGTGAATTTTGAGTTTCTTCCATCTAGAAGAAAAGGTACCCAGTAAGATTTTACTTCTGCTGGTTAAGGATTTCTTAAAAGCATCTGCCCTGGATCCAGCGCATGATGAAGCAGTGTGTGGTACATTTCTCAGAAGAGCTGAAAGTGCTGCACAACTCTCAGTCGTTCCAGCACAGTGATACAAAAAACATGTGGCACTTCTAGCTACTTGATGACAGATATTCTCTTGTGTTTGGCCATACATTTACAACACATTTATTCTTAGGATTATGTCATTGAGCATGAGCTGCTTTCAGGCATTAGATCATACACCTGGTCCTTCCTCAAATGCTGTTTTAACCATTTGCTGAAAGCACCAGTTGAAAGGATGATTTGACTAAGTGACTAATCTGACTGAATGCCTGTAACACTTACAAACTATTTTTAAGCCATTAGATTTGGGCAAAAGCTGCATAAATTGTAGGTCAGCACAAAGCAGCAATTCACAGATGGGCCTCTAAAAAAATCACACTATTTTTGGAGGCATTTGCTCCTGTACCAATTCAGACTAGTACTATATCCTTTCTTTGCTATCATGGATTAAATAGGCAAAACCTTCAAAAGTAAATACATACATAAATTAGGTAAGAATGGGAGGTTTCCAAAGGCACAAAAGATTTCAAAGGCACAAAAACTGGAGTTAGGTGCCTAAGAGACTACTGAGGGGACCTCACCAATGTCTATAAGTATCTGAAGGGAGGGTGTCAGGAGGATGGACCCAGGCTTTTCTTGGTGGTGCCAAGCAATAGGACATGAGGCAATGGGCAGAAACTGATGCACAGGAAGTTCTACCTGTGCATGAGGAAGAACGTCTTTACTATGTGGGTGACTGAGCACTGGAACAGGTTGCCCAGAGAGGTTGTGGAGTCTCCCTTACTGGAGATATTCAAGAGCCATTTGGATGCAATTCTGTGCAATGTGCTCTAGGATGACCCTGCTTGAGCAGGGAGGTTGGACCAGATGATCCACTGTGGTCCCGTCCAACCTTACCCATTCCGGGATTCTGTGAAGTGGCCTTTATCCTTAATTCAGCGCTTGCATTTTCTGCTTGTTAACCGCTATGCAAATCATAGAATCATAGAATGGTTTGAGTTGGAAGGAACGTTGAAGATCATCTAGTTCCAACCTCCTGCCATGGGCAGGGACACATTCCATTAGCTCAGGTTGCTCAGAGCCACATCCAGCCTGGCCTAAAAAAATTCCAAGGATGGGACATCCACAGCTTCTCTGGATAACCTGTTCCAGTGCCTCACCCCCCTCACAGTAAAGATGTTTTTCCTAATAGCTAATCTAAACCTATTCTCTTTCAGTTTGAAGCCATTCCTCATTGTTCTGTCACAACATGCCCTTGTAAAAAGTCTCTCTCCAGCACTCTTGTAGCCCACTTTAAGTACTGGAAGTTGCTATAAGGTTTTCCCAAAGCCTTTTGTTCTCTGGGCTGAACAAACCCAACTCTCTCACCCTTGTCTTCATAGGAGAGGCGCTCCAGCCTCCTCATCATATTTGTCCTCCTTTGGACTCACTCCAATAGGTCGATGTCTTTTCTGTGCTGGGGACTATGCAGTGCTCTGGGTGAGGTCTCACCAGAGCAGAGTAAAGGGGCAGAATCAACTCCCTTGACCTTTTGGGACTGCAAGTGCACATATACATAACATACATAATAATCTACACAGGCACCTAGATAAGAAAAGTTTGACTGGCTCCAAGTAACAGCAGTTTCCATGTACTCACTGATTACTGCTTTCCTTCACCCAAAATAAATTTCACCCCATTTTTAACTTGAGGTAGTCATATTCTGCTCTGCAAGGGGATATAAAATGCTACCAGTTCAGCATCTGCACTGATTTACATAGATGTTAATATCCAATAGCCATTTTCCATTGACTCTCTTTGGTTTACATAACTGCAGGAGATACTGAGTAACAAAGAATCCAGCACTTGGTTTAAAAACAGGCACTCCATTTCTGGCAGTGGGTAGGATAGCAAGAAAGCCTTTAATTTGAGCCTTTGAGTGTATCCATGCAACATAAAGTACAAGCGTGAGAGGAACATGCTGATAGTTCTGCATTATCACTAACAGCACTGAGATGCAATAAGAAGAAAAATTTAGGTACACACTCATTTTATTAGAGAACCTTCCCATTAGAGCCAAATGAGGGTGCCATTTTGGGTAACTTGGTCCAGTGTGCCCTTTTCTAGATGTTCGGTTTCCATAGCAAGTGAGAAACTTTACTGCTTATATTGTGTATTATTTATACCACAGTTGTGCATGGAAGAACTCAGAATGGCTTTATGTGCTTGTATACATAATAATACCAAGTGACTGAAATGCAGAAATTAATTGTATCACAGAAATATCAGAGAATAAAATTTTAAAAGTGTCTGTATTTAAGGGCTAGAAATGGAACAGGTTACAGGTGGATTTAGACAATACGGACTGTGAAGTGATGGCAGAAAATTCCTATAAATTTATTGATATCATCTGCGGAAATAAACATCCCTGCTCAAACTGTGCAGAGAAGAATAAACAGATGTATTTAGCTGGGAGTGATATTTATTCTTTTTGAGGAGTCCTACGTATTCAAAGGTAGTGGATATATATTATATACCACAAAAGCAGCTGTGGGGCAATTGCAGTTCTATGGTTTTGTTCTGTTGAATGCAAGCTACAGGGAGCCTTTCTTTTTCTATTATTTCTCATTTTCAAAAACAATCTAGATTGAAAACAGTAGACTTTGTTCTTTGTGCAAGGGAAACATGGTAAAATCCAGGAATAAGCAGACAGCTTAAAGAGCAGGGCTAGTTTCTGAAGTGACTGTTTTTCCCAAGCAAGAGATAGGAGAGAAAAAATTGGGTCTTGACAATACAGTAAGTAGATTTCTAAAAGGTTTTTCCTTCCAGCTCAAATATTTTATGGAACTTGAGAAACATTAGGCACCACTTCTAAAAGGAATAAAATAAAAGGACAATGGATAGAACAGTAAGATCACTTTGAGACAGTGTCAGAAGACTCAAAACAAGGAGAAGCATGCCAGGTTAACCCACCCACTATTCTCAAGATTCCATGAGCCCATGGGTTAGGCAGTTTCCCTGTACCAACAGTAAGTAGCAATATTAATTTACCAGCTTTACTGTTCACTCAAACCAATAATCATACCAACAGCCCTCAAAAATATGGAGGACGGGATTGAATATACAAATGATCGCTTGTTGTTTACCTGGCACCCCAGGTCCTTGTTGTACCAGTTGCCTCAGAGAGCAAGTGAGCTTGGATTCTTGATGCAGTTGTACAAATCAGATTTTGTTTTGGTATTGTTTCCAGCTGAAAGCCTTGTCTTTATTCTAATGGTAGGAGACTTTCTTCCTATTAAATGCTTCAATGGTGGATTTAAATATTTAGAGGATCCACATTACAGGAGAACTGTCTGAGAGCATCACAAAGAAACCATTAGTTAAATCCATTAAGGATCTACTTAAGTGGAATTTCCTGCTGTTATCTACATGATAGCCACATAAAAAAGACACTGGAAGAAGAAAATATTCCTCTTCACATACTGTATCTGTAAAACATCCAGTTTTACTGAAGAGTGCCTTTTTGATTGTCTCAAAATTTTAGCTAGAATTGATATTCTTTGAGCAGAATTAGAGTAGGGGAAACAAAATGGCTCAGTTTCAGTTCTGCTTTTGCCCCTCTTGAGTATACTCAGTTCAGACAAAACCTTGTGTTAGAGAAGAAGGTACAGAATCTCTTTTGTTTTGGACATGGCATAAACCATCAAAGTTGTATCCACTGTGCAAGAAGCATCAGGTATATACCGAGTCTCTGTCTTGTCTATTTTTAAATACACATAAGTGGTAGCAGTGTGGATAAGATGTTCCTTCCTCCAACTCCTAGAGTAAGGCACTTGAGCCATTTGAATTATAAAACTTACACTATCTTTCAAGTTGCTCTTGTTTTAACAAAAGAGAAATAGCTTGAACTCCACAAAGTAATTTTTTCCATTCTCTACAATCATGGGTTTGATACACATTCAAGAAGGCAGTTATATTAATCAGAATCTTTCTATTCTTTAGTTTCTATTCTTTAGTTATGTAAGAGTTCCTATTTTTGAATGCTCAGGAATCTCTGATGTGATTTAGGCTTGTGAACAAAATGAAGGCACTACACAAACATAATGTACAAATATCCATATCGGTTGCAATATTGATATCCCTAATCTACCTGTAAATCAGCATATAGTGTCTCTGACCATTGATTTTTTTCCTCTGGCCCCATTTTGAGCATGTTTTATAAAACCCAAGAGAACCCCTGTTCTCTGGCCAGAAAAGCCTAGACCCACTCTATAGACGTATAAAATTTCTTTCTAAGACCTTAAACAAAATATTATTTTCTATTGGAAGGTGAAATACTCAGAAGTCTTGGTTCACCCATACATGTAGATGTATGTACAGAGTACCATGCAAAACCAGTTAGCCCACTTTCTCTTCTCAGTTAGACTATACCTGAAAGGCTCAATGTAGAAGAGAAAAAACACCTCAGCAAATCTGCTGTCAGGGGTCAGTGTCCTACAGGAGGGAAGGAACAGCATGTGGGCAGTTTGTGAACAGCACAAAGCAAGCATAGAAGTGTGAGTCCTGGTGGTTTGAGAGAAGTGTTCATTACAGGCAATGGCTCCTGGCTTCTGATATCTGGACACTGAAGGGGCTGCTGCATCCTGCGAAGGAAGATACTGTCATTGAGTGGCCAGGAGCCCTCCACCACTGTGAGCACACATGACACTCCTGTCCACACACAGAGCTACTACACTAAGATACAGTCCAGGTACAGCATCAGGTAGTATTGCAAACCCAAGGAATGACAAAATCAGAAGTCTGACTCTTTCCCCAGTCAAAAATTACCCTCGTTATGGGACTGAAAAACAAACAATGACTGTCTGGATCTTCTGGTATTTCACCCATTGAGGGTTATACTTAGTAACATTTCTAACCTTGTCCCTACACTTATGGAAACTTACTTCCAGTAAAAAAAAATTAACATATTTAATTTCTCAAAAGACTGTGGAACACTGGGTTGCTATGAAAGCATTGCCTGTCAAGGCTGTCATCACAACTGTACAACTGACTTCATACAACACTGACAGCATGCAACGCTGCCCTGTGGAGCAGCGGTATCATGACTTTTGCCTGCTCTCAAAACCTCCATCAGGCAACAACCTTAATGTCCACCAAACGGGGAATGGAGCAAAGATGCACGACAGCCCTTCCACGCCATTTTTTGCAAGGCCACACTATATTCTGAGGACTTTTATTAGAGATTAGTAAGGGGTTTGCTGTATATCTACAGAATGAGCACTCAGGGTGTGATAAAACCAATACTCCTGTTTAATCCCTCCATTGCTTTTCCATTGGTCTTTGTAAGCCTTTGAAAATTTAACTTCGGTGCTCTTTGTACCCCAAATAAAAATTTTAAGTCCTTTCCTCTTTTCTTTTTTTCCATTTATGCTCCTTCAAGGTAACTGTGATTTATCATAACTCCTACTACCACAAGTGTTCTCTCCGCAGGCAATGGGTTTGCCAAGTCCCACCTAAGCATTATCGCTTAGAAAAACACTTCTGAGTAGAGCAAGAGGCGAACGCGCAGGCATGGGGGGAAATGTTGCCCCAAAAAAGCAGCCCAGGAAGCCAGTGTCACCAGCTCAGCAGGAGGCACCGGGCACCACAGCTCCAGTGGCACCACTGCGCAGATGATCTGGCACAACACACTCAGAATACTAAAAGAAGGTAAGCCCCTAGGTTCCTGTCTGATTACCGAGGTCCGTGTGAGGAGAGAACTAAGGGCCGACGGAACCTCCCTGCCCGCCCTGCCCGCGGCCCGTGGAGCGCGACATGGCCGCCGCTCCCGGCAGGCACCGGGCGCCGGCGGGCCCGGCGGGCGGGCGGCCGCGAGGTGGCGCCGGGCAGAGGCGGCGGCCCGTGCCTGGCCCGCTGCCGGGAGTTCGCGGCGTTCACAGACTGCTGCCGGGATCGTCCTAAGTAGCACCAGACCCGGGGCAGTCAGTTGCATTGCGCCGGATTGAATTAATTTAAAGATACATGCATTTATTTACCCACTCAATTTAGGATCCCATGGAAATACTGCTTCATATATTAAGTGTTATTATGACGGCCTGGGATCTGTGTTGCCCACACTCCCAAAATCTTTGTGTTAAAATAACACTTTTTTGTGGAGCAAATTTGCAACACATTAGTATAAGTGATATTTGAATTCACTGCTTCAACCATTGTGGCTTTCTTTGTTTGTTTGTTTTGTTTGCTGTTTAAACCTCCCTCTTGTGCACCAGCAAAAGCAAACACAGCTCTCACCAAGCAGCACTTCCATCTCCAAAAGGGACCCTTGCGAACTCCCCCAAACCTGTTCCCGGCCCCAGTGCCCCAGTGAGGGGCTGCACGGCGCTCAGAGTCCAAGCCGTAGGCCACTTGCCCAAGGAGTTGCCAAGCACAGCCCTGTCAGGCATCTCCCATGTTCACACCAAAGTTTTGGTCCTGCCTGAGCCCCACGGGAGTTTGTGCTGGGCCTTTGAACCCCCTCCGGCTCAGGGCAGTGGTCTGTGCATGCCTCACTCTGCTCCTGTCTTCACCGGCAGAACCAAACCGAGCCGAGCAGCATCTCCCTTCCCCGGGCTTGGCACGGAAGGTTGGCAGCACCGAACACACCCAGCTCCAGGCCCCCATTTACCCTGTCACAGCTGGATCCATACCAGTCCCTCCATGGGAGCAAATTAGGATCTGCACTGCTCCCACCTCTGCTGGCACCTGAGCCCTTCTCTATGGCCTGTGTGAGCCCAAACTCCCTGGAAAGGGCAAAGAAGAATGCACAGTAACTGCAGCAAAGAGCAGTTCACTATTCCACAGGCTCCTGTTCCCAGCTGTGTTCATCTTTTTGTGCTGCTCGTGTGTGTGTTTGAACACCTCATGGAGAGGAATGGGCCACTTCAGTCTTCTCTAGGCCTCCTCTGTGCCAGCACCTTTCTTTCTGAGGTGCAAGGCACAACCTTGGAGCAGAAGTTGCAATCTTTTCTCCATTCTTTTGCTTCTCCCAGCCTCTAGCCTGCCTTGAGGTGCGCCTGCACCCCTCCCAGATCCTTCACTTTCCCACTTCACTGCCAGCCTTCACTGCCAGCCCTTCATGTTTTCCCCGAGGAGGAGTGAAATAAAGCACCACACAGTCCTGCGTGGGATGTCTGCACACACGTGTGAGACTGGCAGCTGCTGCGATGGGGGACAGACAACGGGGGTATGGTGGGATGGTGTGGTAACGGAAGAGTCAGAGCTGCAATGCTGGAAATAGGGAGAAACAAAAGCCCTGTGGTGGTTGAGCACTGTGAAAGCACCATGAGACACAAATGGCACAACAGCACAAGAGAGAGAGAGAGAAGAAGCAGTCGGAGCAGCATCCCTAGCTCACCTTGCTTGAAAATGCATTCCCAACAATCACTTCCAGAGTCACTTCCAAATTGTTTCTGAATGCCCTGAGGTTCAGCCTTTGAGTCCTGTTCCTCTGCCCTAAGGTTCAGCTTTGAGTCCTTTGAGTCCTGTTCCTCGGTGAGGAGAAGGGCTCAGGTGTGAGTTGTGCAGACACAGTGAAAGCTCTAGCATGCAACCAGTCACCATTTTGAGCAGGAGAATCATTGTTAAAGCTGCAGAAGCAGTGACAGAGAAAAAACTGTACCAGAGTACTGAAAGGCTTTAAGAAATTTGTTGGGATGGGGGGAGGAGGGGGAAAGTAAGGACACAGAATATTGAAAAACTTTATTAAGGTGGAGTAAAGGTTGATTAGTGGTCATGCCCTTCCAAATTACAGAGCGCCTAGATATGAACTGTGAAAACGAAGAATTGCACTTTTGAGCACCAGCTCAGTAGAGACTGAATCTGATAAGCTGGTCCTAGAGCTGTGCACACGCACCTCCTAGGAACTCTCTGGAAACGGAGGCCATGAGCACAGGTGAATAAAGAGTAATACACACACACTTTGTATAGGCAAGGCTTGAGAGTGGGTCACAGTCTGATCAAGCTGGTGCATCTGGCCTACCCTTACAAACCAAAGTAGTGATGCTCCCTCCTCCTTCCCTGCTCCTGAATGAAGTGCTAACTGTTATCGCCCTTCACCCTTTCCCCTAGGGTCTTTTCTGAGAGCTAGTTTACACCACAAAGAATTTTCCAGTATAGTTGTAATTATGAAAACCATGAGGTCAGCACAATTTATTCCAGTATCGTTTTTGCCAGTATTGTTAAACCTTTTCTTCCAATGACAGAAAGTATTTTTGAAAAAAAATTTTTTGTTAGTCATTGTTTACTCCAACTTGGTTCAGCCTGATCTTTTCACATGCCTGCCTGAAAAAACTATGTGGCCAACAGATGTAGCCTGGACTTCTCATGAAACTCTCTCTGCACTCTCCCCTTATTAAATACTGTCATGTATGGTACCACAAAGCTGAGAGTTGCCAGGGCCAGTTGCATGGCCTTTCTCTGGCAACACCAACAAAATTGATTGGTTTGGGAATCACTGAGGGGAGTGCTTTGCAGTGAATACTAAAATCCTAAGCAGTTTAGCATGGCTACATCTGTACTAGCAAAACACTACTGTCTGCTAGTAGAATAAAACCATCTCCCACCACTGTCATAAAATATTATTGGTAAAAATACCATTTTACTGATACAACCGTGTCTCTACCAGAGGCTTCTGTTGACACAGCTACGCCTGTCAGAGCTGGCATCTCTTTACAGCTATGCTAGTAGACATCAGTCCTGTGAATGTCATCTTGGTCTTTCAGGAAACATGTTCACCTCTTTTCAACTCACAGTGACAACTCCATCCCACAACTGCATACAGTACAGTTATTCTTAAGACAGTAAATGCAAATGAAGATGCAAATGCATTTTGTAATTCAAATCAGTGAAACAACATCATATTCTTCTGTTTCTTCCTTACAGTTACTTTATGCAGATTCATAAAATTTAAGGTCAGAAGATACCTTTAGGTAACATTACCTGAGGTATAACACAGGTCAAGCAATTTTACGTAATTAACCCTCATGATTCATAGATGAGGAAGCATGTTCTAGAAATCATTTTTGAATCAAAGACACCAAATGAAGTAATCACCATTTTCCTTACTGGCTTATAACTTCTGCCTCACATTTCTGAATCCAGAACCATAATAACATGCTTTGACCTCTGTGATGCCGTCTTCTGTGCAGGTGCCTCTCCTTGGAGTTTCTCCTCTCTCTGATCCCTTCTTTGATCATTCTTTGATTCCTTCTATCTTCATTCTTCTAGGTAACATTCTAATCCCTTTTCTGGCAGCAGACCTGTCATCACTCTTCCAGAGCAGCATAAACCATCAGGTTCACACACTAAGACGTATCCCCCCCACCTTCCAATGTCCTCTGCAGGGAACAGGAGAACGCTCTTGTGACAGCACTCTCCTCAGTGACTACTGGTGGCTCTGTGAGTGGGGCTGAAATACCATCAGCGGGGTGGTATGTATTTTTATGTTATATTTTCCGGCTGCCATGCCAAGTGTTTATACTGCACTGATCTCCAAGCTCTGCAGAGGTAAAAACCATGGCTGGGCAATAACAACTCTGCATTTGTTAGGTCTGGGGATATTTCACATATATAAATCTTAGTAAATTTATTCCAAAATGCAGAAAGTAAGGATTTTGACTGATATATATTTGTAGGTACAAAAGTACAGTTCATATTAAATTCATATTAGTAAAGCCCTTACAGGAGAATCAGCCAAGCAAAAGATGACTAGCTTAAAAAGAGATACCATTGTGATTACAGAAAGACAAGAAAAACAAACAAAATTCCTTCTTACTTTCATTCTTTCTATCCCATAAAGTGTTTATGAGTAACTGGGTTTAACTATTCCTACTTGAACTGAAGTAATCAATAAAGGAACACTTTGTATAGAAATAATGCATTTTCTGCAGTTATAGCTAAACAGAACAGATTTGAACAAATTCCTAAGGATCTGCTTTCATTACTGAAGAAGATTCTGAATTTTTAGCTCTGCATATAACCAGCTAAAGAGCCTGTAACTCGATTTTTATTAACATCCAGCTGTATGTCACATATCTCCAAGTCCAAGTCCCCCTCCGTATAGTGTTCCTGAGTACTTGACATCAGATAGCTGGCAATTTTCTCAATATGATGTATAACAAGTGACTTTATTGGGGTAATTTAGGACAGACCCTGTAGAACATGTAAAAGAGTTCTTGGCTGGGAGCTGTTTCTCCAAATCTATCTGAGAAATGGCTTGCAATCTTACTCATCTTCACAGGTGCTTGATGCCATTGATTTACAATTTTATATTGCAATTCTAACTGGTTAACTGAAATAGAGCATATACCTATGAAGGACATTATTGAGTCCAATATCTCCAGCTCAAGAGAATGAGATAGTTCCCTTTCCCATTTAATCATAAATGTTTCTTTAGTGGGCAATAAAGAAAAAGCAATGGCTTTATACAATCACCCCACAATGTTCTGAGATTCATTGCTAAGGAATAAGATTTGCTCAGATAAAAAGGATTCCCTAATACAAGTAGATTTAACATCAGACTGAATAAAGAAACTCCTGAACTGGGAGTAAAGAAGCAAAAAGGGAAGTCTAGCATGTTCCACCTTTGTTGTATTTCTAAGTGAAATGTGAATTTGTTTTTACTGAAGGGTTGAGATAAATATTCCAGATAAATGAAATCAGTTGTTTCTGCACTCTTTCAAGAGAATAGGAGCAAAACCGTAATATATTTACAAAAAGAGGCAAATTACTTTTAAAGCTGGTACAGACTCCATCCCAGAAATGGAGAACTTGGTTCAGGTCTGGTCATAAAAACTGCAGTTTTCACACCTTCCGACTCATGATCTCTCTGTTTTCAAAACCTAGCAAGAAAGTCAATTGCCCTTAGCTGAGTAATAAGCTGGATTTATACATCTGTAACAGGACCCACCATACTCAAGAGGCTTGCATAGTGCTTTTAATGATTCCCTTTCCTGC